TCTAACAGATCTCCCAGTGACCATCACTAAAAAGTCAGTCTGAAAAACAAGTGCACAATGCCTGTGGTCCCAAGACCAGCATATGTGCTCATGACATGACTCATCGGATCTCAAAAGCTAAACAATGCTCATGTGGACCTGTGAGAGCCTTCAAAGCACCACGTAAGTCAAAATCCGTAGAGAAACCCTGACTCCTGGAGCACTGGCTGAAGGGAGCTTTTAAAGAGCACTTAAGATAGTTTTGCAAAGCACGATGCATTGGAATCGCTTCAAGGAGCGGGAGCATGCGATGGGCTGAGCAGTGATGCAAGGGCAGCCACGCACCCGTTGGTCTTTGCTGGTGATTAGGTCAGTCAAGATGGGTTTGTGTGAGAAGCTCCCGCACACGACTGCCCAAGTTCCCTTTTCTCTTCCTGCTACACGGAAAATGGGGCACCGGGAGCAGGGACCTGCTGGAGGGGAGGAACCGTCCCTCTTGTCTGCACAAGAGTATTTTTGAAGGGCTAAACTGCAGCTAGAATGGTACCCAAGTAAGCCATCCCATCTCTCCTGTATGCAGCAGATGAATGCCTCATTATCAGATTCCTCCGCTTGCTTCCCGGTAGACTCAAATTACCATGTTAAATAGGATAATAATAAACACTGGCCTTTAACTACAGCACATCCTTGTTCACTCAGCAGCCTCCCTCTAATCTGATAAAGGGTCTGTAAAAGGCTACAAGGGAACACGGAGTTAGTTGTTACGCAGGTGCCTCTCCCCTGCTTTTTCTGCAGCACGAGCAGGTGCAGGCTCACAGAGCCGGGTTAGGGGACCTTGATCCCTGAAAGAATTAACAGGTATCAACACAGGAGCAGGGGACCAAAAGGACACTGCGGATCTGGACCACGACTCCTCCACTGCATTTCAAAAAGGCAAAAGTAGCCCCGTGCCATCTGGTCGCTTTAGCACTCGGACTCTGAAACAAAAGCAGCCAAGGAAATCTTTCCAGCTTAGGAGAACAGTGGGGAAGAAGAGAGATCTCGGTGGCAGTGCATGCTGCCTTCACACAGAGCTGCCTGTATCTGAGGTATTACAGAAGGTCTCTTTAACAACTACTCTGAAAAAAAGCCATCTATCCACCCAGAATAAATTATATAAAGGGGGTAAACTGGATTGGGAACAAAGAGGGCTGATCTGCCTAGACTTTGAATCCCCTTAGCCCCTAGAAGCTGAAAGTGCCATTTATTTCAGTGTTACAGGATTTCCTCCTGTATTTTTCGGCTCCTTTTTTATTCTATTTTTCTTATTTTTTTCTTACTCTTCTTTTTTTTTTTCCCTTTAGTTTACCTAATCCCCCAGATTTCTCTCGTTGCAGAAAGAGGAAAAAGCTTTACAAAACAACAGGGAATAAAGACAAAGTCAAATTACTTTGTTGAGCTCTTTTGCACATCCTGAAGAAGAATGGGAGAACTGAAAACTCTGGAAAGCACGAGGGGCTTCCTGCTG